ACTCTGTATGTAGTGTGTCCTTATACCTACCAAGAAAAACAATTTTCTACAGGTACAGTTAACTGTGGCTAAGTTAAAGTGCTCACAATAATATCTGAATTATAAGTTTCAAGCAAGATTAATGTACCTTTTCATTAATTCTTACAGGCTCATTATTGAGCAAATATGGATTTAAAACATCAAATGCTCTGAGGGACAGACATCTAGAGACTGGGCTAATTAACAGAAAATTAATAGTCTTTGGGTAAGGAATCATGAAATGTATATTGAATAATCCTATCAGTTTTCAGTGGAAGTCTTCCCACTGAGTTCACAGCCTCCTTTCTCACCAAATCCCTCTGTCTTCATTCTGTAGTAGGTACTTGGCTATATCCAGAGGAAAAAGTTCTTCAAACTATCCCTAATGACCTGTGCATTTGACTAGTGCAAAAGAAGTTTCAAAATCAAGGAAAGCTTTATATTTTATATTAATGTAACAACAACATTATCTATAAAGATATTTGTTCATTTTTTTTTTTTTGAGATATTTGTCTTGCTATGTAGTTCAGGCTGGCCTTAAACTCAGCAGGTAGCCCACACTGGCCTACAACTCATGGTGATCCTCCTGCCTCAGCCTTCTGAGCGATAGGAGGCAAGGCATGCACCCCCACACCCTGCTTAGCATGCATAATATACACCACGGCTGCAGCCACTTAAAAGTACGTGGCTATTACAACTGTAAGCAAACAGCTGGAAGACGGCATTTATTACACTGCATGGTGATGTGTACAGGGTACATTCAACCTGCAGCAGAGAATGCTACCTGGTGGACAAAATAAAGGTAAGTCCTGTGCTGTTAATGGCTCACTTCTGGAGAAAGCACCTGTGCCAAAGCCATTGGGATCAGGATTTGGTGCCTCGTAGAAATGTATGCATTTGGATATTTATCATCTTGCTTGCAAAATGAACCATCTTAGTTTTATGTTTTTCACCTCCATGGTTGTGGTATTTATGTTGAGATGGAGTCTCACTATGTTACCAAGGCTGGTCTTCTACATGTGCTCAAATGATCCTCAACCTCTCAAACAGCTGGAATGGCAGGTGTGTGTCACCATGCTCAGCCAAATGCATGTCTGCTGGAAGTGTTTTGTTGGATATCCAGCTATCTGAAGAGGTGGAGAGAAATGAAACTGGTGCTTTCAATGCTCACATGTGACCCCTTGTATTTACAGCTCATCCTTTATTTTTTGTTGGACAGAAAGATGTGCTGTTTTGCCTAAATGACTTTTTAATTTCTCTTTGGGACATTTCCTCTGGGGTCATTATGTCTAACCAGGCCCATGACCTTCATCTGCTCCCCGTAACAGCTCCTCCCCAGCTTGCTTCTGTGGGTCTGGGAACTGATCCTTGCTTTTTGTCGCATGATCTAGAGACTTTTACAGGAATTATAACAGCTAGAGCCTCCATTTGCCAAGTACTTATCGATCTGTCTTGGCTACACAACAGCAGCCTTCAGTTCCCAACAATGGTCTTTAGAACCACAGCAAGTAGTTTACTTCCCCAAAGATAAACAAGAGGTCATTTTAGTGGCTAATATACAAGTTGAAGCTCCAAGAAGAAGCAGTCAGCAGATTGCATTTCACTCTATGCCTACATGAGTCTACCATTAAAACAATTTTTAAGAATTCTGGGGCCAGGCATAGTAGTACATGTCTGTAATCCCAGCTACTAAAGAGGTTGAAGCAGATGGACTGCCACATTTGAGGACGGTCTGAGCTACATGGTGAGATCCTATCTTTAAAAACTTCCTTTGATAGGGGGCTTGCCCAACACACAAAGCCCAGTCGGTTGGGGAAAAGAACGCAGAAGTGCTCACAAGTCACCTGGTAAAACTCCTAGTGGTTAAATACATGCAGACAATACGGTATAAAGAGGCTGAGCAGTATGGCTTCTGATCATCTTCTAGAATGGCATGCCTAGGGTGAAGTGAAGTGTGTCTGTCTGTAGAACTCTAACTGCTTTCCTTGTTTTTCTTTTTGGTACTCACAGTTCATGGATCAAGTGTCAAACCCTTCCTGGAATGAGGGATCTGATTTGTAGATCTGTCTCTATAGTTGTGATTATTTCTGGTGCCTTACAACCACAGAAGCACTCAGACTCAAGATGGACACAAACTAACTGGGTTCTCCACACCACGCCGCCATCACCAATACTTCTCAAGGAGCCACAGTAATTTCCAGTACAAGGGGATGGGAGAGGGACACGCCTCTCCTGTGGAACTGTCAAATGAAGCCCTGCCTCTGCTGCTCCCCCTCCATGCTTAGCCCAATACAGATGCCAATTCGGTCACATGTGAAGCCATTGGTCTCACCAACACCCTCTTCCTGCAGCCTAAAGAGTGCAGGGTACCTGTGCAGGTGGGTGGGGCAGAATTCAGATGGGGGCCGGCCATAGGTAAAAATGGGAGAAATTTAAAAAAACCTCTAAAATGCCAAAGAAGAGACCATGTAAAACACTGAAAATACAAATCTAATATTTTCCTGAATGAGCCTGGTTAAGTCTATGAAATCTAATTGAATGGGATTTACACAGATCCGCATTAACAATGACAGGCACCGTTTGCCAAGCTTGTACACCTCTGATTCTGAATGTTTACTCCACATGCTTTGATCTTACAACATGATTTGTAAGTCAATCGCATTATTTTTAAAATGCTAAATCAAATCTGTGTTCATATTAATGCAAAAAGCACCACCAAATCTCACTTTATTTCCTAAATTTCATTTTTAAAAGTTCAACAGTATTTGCACAAGTTTAGCTGCTCTAATGTTTACAAAAATAGACTCATGCCAATAAAGCCTTATAAATATTGTGTTTGGTGAATATTCTTATATTTAACAAGAAAAATATTTCTACAGCAAACATCAGTAATTTGAAGTTTTAATGCTTCAAATAAATTCAAATCACAAATCTCCTATACAGATTACCTTTTCATTAATAACTGACAGTTTACTATTAACATACGGGTGAAAAACTTGCCAAACATGCCGCACATTAGTAGTTGGACTGATTAAATGATAATAATTCTTAATAGACTTGTGTCAACCTAGCTCATGCCTACCCTTCCCTCTTCACTGTGACCATGTCCTGGCTTCACAGCTTTTCTGCAACTCCCTTAGTTTTCACATCTCACAACTTCTTGTCTTTGCCTCTCCCTAAAAAATTTGCCTGGAATCTGAGAGCCCTGGATGGTCTCCTACCTCCAGCAGGAAATTGCTGCTGGAGAAACTTCCTTCCAGGCCTAAGCTTTCCCTGCAATGCAGGCAGGTGGGCGGGGAGGCCAGTGTGCAGTGTAGGCTTCCTAAAACAGAATCCAGACCTGGGGCCACACAGCCCTGTGGTGAGTGAAGCCACAAGATCCTCACACCTCCTGTTTGCTTCCCAGGTCACAGAGCCATTTCACACACTAGCAAACAATTCTTAAACCTGTTGTAAAACTAACCAGAGATTCGCCTCATCTATCACTGAACTGTGTGACTCTCAAGAGCCACAGCAGGGAATAGAGGAGTGTTTCTTAACTGGCTTGAAGTCACCAGTGAAGGGGAATACTTCCTCAAATCTAAACTCTGGAAATCAGAATGGATGTAAGGCGCCAGATCTTGAGTTCAAGATGGGCTCCAAAGGAAGGGGGAGCTGGGTTCAGATGTCTCTTCAGAACTACCCTGCTGAATGATCCTGGGGCAACATACCTGCTCTCCTTAAATCTGTTTCCTTCTCTGTAAAATGGGGATAATAAATCTACCTTATCGAGTTGGGGGAGATTTCAAAGTAAAGATGCAGGTAATACACAGTGAATGTCTGTTGTACAAAGCACTCAGTAAATGTTAATTCTTCACCTTTGGAAGTGGGCTGGGGGAATCTGGAGCCAAACTGCTGGGTTCAGAGCCTGTCCCCAGCTTCAAAAGCTGAGGACATGTGATAAGTGACATGAACTTCTCAGACTCAGTTTCTCTATCATGAACATGGAATTTGACTACCGTGCACAGTCAATATCTAACAAATATTAGCTATTTTTGTTTCATCAGGAGTAAACTAGTTTGTGTTTTTTAACCCACAGTGAAGGAATTAATTGAGTTCGGTACAATGTGCATTTTTTTCCAAATCATGAAAGCTTTGTATTCATTTAAGAACTCTGGGGCTGAGTCAAGTTGTGATGCTAAGGGTGGGCCCAGAAACTGTAATATGCAGAAAAAATTCAAAGAGGGGCGTGTGAACCACCCACCAGGGAGCTGTTTCTTTTGTAATGCGCATTCCATTTCTTCTCCCTCATGCTTCTTAATTCCTTCCACATTTCCTGCCGTAATTATCAAATGTTTAGTTTCTGACCTCACTTTTCTGGAGACGAGAGCCCAGGGAATTTAGAACTGTTTATTTTCTGTCCATAAACCTTTGAGTTAATGGAAGGGCTTGTGAGCGAAGGTTTTGTTGGTTTGTTTGTAGTGTCTCAGGAAGGTCACTGGAGTTGAAAAGAAAACATTACCCAAAAAAAAAAAAGGCGCTGAATGCTTTAACTGGAAACCGCGGAGCCCCCAGGACCAGAGCCAGGGATCTGACACTTGCGCAACTTGAGCTTAAGGGTGAATTTAGATTTTAAGAGACCGTTACACGGCCCAGATCACAACACAAAAATCCCAGAACATTTGCAAAGAAAAACACAAATTGCAGGAAATCGTCATTGCACTTTGTAAGAGAAAGAAAAGAAAATCTATTTGGCCCCCGAGAAGGATCTCCACCCCCACCCCTGGAGGAGGCAGACTCGGAAAAGTCCCTGCTCCTCGGTTTCCTCCAAGTGAAGGCAGCGCTCGGGCGCCTGCGGGGCGGCCCCCGGTCCCGGTCCCCAGCTCAGCGCCCTCCCCGCGCGGCCCGACCCGGCCCTCCGGTCCCCCCGGCCCCCCGACCCCCCGGCCCCCCGATCCCCGTCCCGCCGCGCGGCCCCGGCCCGGCGCACCCCGCTCACCCACCTCCGCGCGGACCCAGGCGGCCGCCAGCAGCGCCAGAGCGAGCCAGCGTCTCCACATCTGCGGAAGAGAAAAGAGCGACACTGCAGGCGCCGGCCGGAAACTTTGGGGCGCAAGCGGCCCCCCACCGCACCCGGCCGGCCGCAGGGCCCCGCGCCCCGCTCACCGTGTCCGGGGCTCCGAGGGCGCGGGCAGGCGGCGCGGCGGCAGTGCGCGCAGGGCGAGCTCCCGATGGCCAGCCCCGGGAAAGCCGAGCGCGGGGCCCGCCGCCCCGAGACCCCTCCTCCCGGCCCGCGCCCCGGCTCCTCCCCGGCTCCTCCCCTCTGCAGCAGCCGCCCGGCCTCCCTCCTCCACCCGCTCCGGTGCCCGGCGCGTGCCAGCGCCGAGCCCCCCTGCAGCCCTGGGGCCCCTGGAGACACGGGGGGCACGGAGGGGCACCCCAACAGGGACGCGGGAGGGACCCCGCCGCGGGGGGCGGTGGCCTGCGGGGCCCGGGTGCAGCCGGCGCGGCAGTGGCCAGGTGGGCGGTACCGCGGGGCCCGGCCGGGGCCGGGACGCGAACCAGGAGCCCCGCGAGCCGGGCAGGCAGAACTCCCCCACCCCGCTGCCATCGTGGAAGGGGCCCTGCAGCCCGGGGACGCCTGCTTCGGGTCCAGCTGTGGATCTCCTGTGCGGGTGCAGCTGCCCTGCTCTGCGGAGCCCATCCCGAGTGCAGCGTTGGCCCGCAGCTTTTTCTTGGTCTTCTCAGCCCAAGGAGTGGACGCCCCTCGGCCCCGTCCGGTGTCCCTGACTCTACCCTGGCTTCTCAGGTAGCCTCCACCACGGTACCTCCCACCTCTTCCAACTTCTTCCCCAAGGCTTTGGAAGGTGGGCTTGCTTTCTGACCCAGTTAATCCTTACAATGCTGCCTGTTTCCTGCCAGGACTCCCTTGGCGCTGGTGCTGAGCAGGAATTACCCTGGCAGACGTAATATGTCCAACACAGAGCTCCACTTCCCGCCAGGTCTAGGGCCCTCCCATCTACCTTCAGGGTTCGCTTTTCCCAGCTCCTGGTCACATGCATGCACCCTCCTCTCCAGTTCACCGGGGACCCTTTCCCTACCAGGCCGTCTTCTCTCATCCACAGATGCTGGGAACCACCTCTCGTTCCCGTCCAGCTGCCCTGCCTTTCTGTCTTCACTGCAACACAGTGCAGTGTTCTCCCACTGCCTGCTTTAAACACGAACTTCTCCACGTTCTTCAGCAGAAAATTTCAGGGCCTTTCTCCCACATGAGTCCAAACTTTCCTCTGTCCTCACCTCAACTACTTCTATACACTTCCTCTGTTCAGATCAGGTTGTCACCCCATTGTTCTCTTGACTGAACCTAATCATTCTTTCACCAGGGCTTGAGTGTCTACTGGTGAGATTCAAAGGGATTTCAGAACAATGCCGACCCCCTGCAAGTTCAGGATCCATTGAGGCAGCCAATGGAGTCTCCCTGATGGAAAGCAACATGTCACCTTTGTTCCTGGTGAAAGCTGGAATAATATAGCGTTAGAGCTGCAGGGACAATGGGCCCAGTCCAGAACTGAACATGGCTGCAGAGTCTCGGGCACAAGAGGAAAACCTGCTTGTACAAACCCTACCCTGTGGAAAGCATGCTTCCTGGGGTAGACCTGCTCCCTCACTTGGGGTATGGGCGACACAACCTAGTACTTTGACACTCACCAGTCACATACTCCGTCCCCGGCACTGTAAAACGTAAAGTTTTGATATCTGTTCTCTGGTAACTCACAGTAGTAATACCTCAGTTTGCAAATGCTTCTGTTTGCAAACAATTTGGTTCCCAAACAAAAGCACTGGGCAAAATTTTGCTTCTGTTCTTGAACTCCACATGGGGTGACAAACCCGACAGCGGTTACCTTTTCCCTCGCAAACACAAACGCAGCCATTTCCCCCCAAATCTTAAAACAGATCAAGTTCGTAAACCGAGGCACCGCTGTACCTCAAATCCCTTGCACAGCACTATCTCCGTTAAAGCTATTTGTCCTCCCTTCCTGTTTTTCTAGTGGACTTCTGTTCATTCTGTACTTTATAGAATTCAAATTTCATTACATATCTAGCACCTCTTCAGCCAACAATTTGGCATAGTAGGAAGAAGGTGAGGTTGGGGATCAAACCAACCTGGCTTTTAATCCTGTCACTGCCATTTACCAGCTGTGACCTTCATCAAATTACTTGAACTCTCGGAACAGAGTTCTGTGTCTTACAGATGGTAGTATTAATGCCATTTAGGAGGCTGTGAAATTTAGATACTTTACAAAAAGTTCCTGGCAGGTATAAATGATGGCCATCATTATTTCATTGATCTGTTTTGCATCAGATTTGCAGCTGGTACTCTTGAGAACCATCCAGCATGCCTTGTTTTGCTTAACAAACTAGAAGGTATTTTTTTTGTTGTTGTTGTTTCCCTTTACAAATGAGAAAACTGAAGCTTGGAAAAATTTATGTATTCTTCAAAGTTATACACTTGGTTACACAGCTGTACAACTTAACATTTTATTATGTTATACAATGTTTAACACACAGTTGTTCTTAACTCAGAGTATGATTAAATCCACAGTAAACAAAACAAAGTAGCAACAAAACAAACTGTGAGAGGGTTGGTTGACAGCTACATCAGGGAAGGATGTTTTGTTGCATGTGACAGAGCAACCAATTTAAATGACTGTACAATTAAATAAAATGTGTTGACCTGCACCACTGAGAAGCCAGGCATGGGACTGGATTTAGTATCTTCATCCAGGGTTTCATCAAGGATCAGTTTGTTGGGGCTGGGGATTTAGCTCAGGGGCATAAGCGCCTGCCTTGTAAGCAGGCAGTCATGAATTCGATCCCTGGTATGGATAAAAAGGAAAAAGACAAAAAAAAAAAAAAAAAAAAAAGAGTCAGTTTGTTGCCATTGTTTCCTTCTAGGGTCAGCAGTCTCATTGCATCTCTGGGTTCTGCAGGGCGGCTCCTCGGAGCTCCTATATCTGCTCTCACAGCAGTAAACTGACTGCAGGGCTGGTCTCTAGTCTCATTGAAAGAGGGACAGAGCTTCTACAATAGCCCTTAGGAGACAGCTAGATAACTAGATAGGTGATGCATTGATAGTCCCCACCCCCCCATTACTGGAGGTTGACCCCAAGACTGAGCTATATTCCTATTCTTTTTAAAGTATTTTTAAATTTTGAAACAGAACCACTCAGTTGCTAAATCGCTAAGTATGGCCTAGAACTCCCAACTCCCCTGCCTCCCAGTGTTGGGATTTCTAGGATATACCTTATTAAAGCCCAGAGTGAGTTTCTTCGTACTTCCAAATTGATCATAAGCCAGGGCTTAAACCAACAAGGACCCAGTCTGAGAACCATTCACGAGATTACCGGGCTGTGTCAGCGGGGAATGGAAGCTCAAGTGGCCGGACAATGCAGCAGTGAGTCTCTAGCTTACAGAGTGAAATCAGTGCTCTCCAGAAGCCAAGGGAAAAGAATATTAGGGCTGGGGATTTAGCTCAGTGGCATAAGTCCCTGCCTGGTAAGCACGAGGTTATGAGTTTGATCCCCAGTACTGCAAAAAAAAAGAATATTAGAATTTCTGTTTTTACTTATTTCCTCTCTGAAAATAGAAATTGGTTTTGCAGATACATACATTGATTCTGGTAACCATGTTGGATCCCGTGTCAGACAAGCAGGAGTTAAACTCCATTTGCTAAATACCATGAAGAGCCAGTGGGCGTTCTTCCACACCGAGGGACTGATAGCAGCTTGTTCCCTCTGACAGACGGTGATGGACTGCAGCCCGCCTGTCTTTGCCTGCTTTGGTAGCTTGTCCACGATATACTCTAGTTTCAACTGAGTAAAATTAAAAACATTTCCGCTCCCAAACCCATCCACTGAGGATGAAACTTTCCTATGAGTAAGAAAAAGCAGAGCTGACATATTCCCTATTTCTGAGAAGAACTTTCTGTCTGCTACTTTCATGAGGTAAAAAGAATTGCAATGAGACCGGATGAAAAATCAGTCAAAAATTTAAAAGTTGCAATAAAGCTGTTTAAAACGTGAATTCACACTCATCACTACTAGTGATAGTCTCAGCCATGTAATACTCAATTTAGTTCTTAAGAAAATTTGATTCAGTACTAAGTATTTAGAGACTTTTAGGTTTCTTGAAAAACATGCTTTTGGGGAAAATAATTGTGTTCTTGTTTTAATCAGGGATAATAAGGGGCTGGAGGTTTTAGCCAAGTGGTATAAGTGCCTGCTTGGCAAGCGCAAGATCATGAGTTTGATCCCCAGCACCAGAAACAAACAAACAAACAAAAAAAGACAAATGCAAAAAGAAATAACAGAAGTAGTAACGAAGAACAGTATGGTGACAGGCTAAGCTGGATTCTTTGGTCAGCACATATTTTTGGGTTTTGCATTCACAGATTAAACTAACCACAAATAGAAAATATTCAGAAAAATATTATTTTGTAAGGAATATATAAGGAATTTTTCCTTATCATTGCACCTTTAGTAATAGAGTCTATTTATACAGCATTTACATTGTATTGGGTATTATAAGTAATCCAAATATGATTTAAAGCATATAGAAATATAAACATAGGTCATGTGCAAATACTATACCATTTTATAAAGTACTTGAGCTTCCATGGATTTTGGTACCTTTTGGGAGTGTCTGAGAAATCCCTTGGAATTTAAAGAGATGATGGTACTTATAGCTGTATAATAGCAGAAAAAATATTAGTGCTGATTGTGCCATGTGGGAGATTTGCCAAACAGCAAATGAAAATACAGATATCTCAAGCTTTCCTTAGATTATTATACTGGCTAGACTCTGTTTTAATAATGAAGTACACAAAGAATTGTTTTTTTGTGAGTGTACTGAAGGAAGGCTAGATTAAGAGGAATTAATTTTTAATAGTATATTGCATCTTTAATGAAAACAGTATTTTCTGGAAGAGTGTGCAAGTGAGGCTCCAGGGGTGGCTGTTTTGAGTGGGGCGAGGAAAGAAGGGTTCCTAGCAAGGTTCCACAGCTAGGCACACACGTGAAACTTCGGTCACATCATTCATAGAGGAGCCAGGGTAGCAGAGATACTGGGCTGGAGCTGAACAGCATGTTTTGGAAAGTCACTGATATAATTATATTGATAAATTTTATAAATCAAAATATAGCCATGTATTTACAATGCTTAAGGATGACACGGGTAGTGCTCTGGAAATATTTTGAGGCTCACAGATGACCCTGAGTCAGAGGACCTAATTGTTACACTTGAAAATGGATGATTTTGGGGGCTACTGGGACTCAAACTCACAATCATGTATATGCTAACCAAGTATTATGTCACTGATCTGCATCCACAGTCCCTAAAAATATTAACCTTTTTGAGGGTGCCAGGAACTGAACTCAGGCCCTTGCACTTGCCAGGCATGCACTGTGCTGCTGAGCTAAATCCCTGTTCCTGAACCCTTTTTTGACATGATGACAGCTATTAGCAATTTATTGTCATTTCTTGTGACAGCAGGGAGAATGCTACCTATCAGACTAAGACAAATCCACATCTATCATTTCATAAAATGTGATGCTAATGAAGAGACAAAAAAGAAATGCTTTTTAAAATAAACATGCAATAGAGAAATACTTCAAAACTGGATATTGAAAGCATTTTTATCATTAGGTGGTTTTGTTATCCAAAATAATGCAAGTGTAGCACCCATGAAACTTTCATATAGGCACCCATTTAAAATTTTTCCAGCTAAGAGTCCTATATGATGATGCATATAAACATAGATACAGGCATGTTTATATGTTTCAGCTACAGGACTGAGGAAGGCAGATGGTAAGTTCAAGTCCAGCCCAAGCTACTTAGCAAGACCAGGAATAGCTCAGTGATATAACACCCCTACGTTCAATTATTATATCATACCAAAAAAGTTTCAATGGTTTATTTATTCATTTGTTTGAAACATAGAAGCACCAGAAATTTTAATTAAATTATAGACAGTTAAAAACTATTAGCCTAACATCAACAAAAACCTTTGTAAG